TCATTAACCGGTGTTAGTTACATTACAATAATGCTTATAAAAACAATCAATTCGATGAACAAAAAACCTTGGTTAATAAATATCAGTATCGTGGCATTTATTCAAATAGCAATAAAAATATAGCATCAATGAGGGGAGGACGGTTCGCGCTTCCCCGTGTGTGCCATTTGTACGCGCCAACCGGCTTAGTTTAATGTGTTGAATTAATGGGCAGGGTGGTTGGCGCTTCCCAATAGGGGAATTCTTATCCGCCGTTCTGCCGTGTATTTTAACCGATTAGTTCAGTTACCAGGAGGAGCCACGGTGGCTAAGTGGGTAAGACGCTGGCTCGCTAGCCTGGAGGTTGCGTGTTCGATCCCTGCATTGGCCGTGAAAGTTTCTCGGGATTTTCCGACGTGGTTTCCCCTTGTCAGTGACGCAGGACGGAGCGCGTGGACAGGACAGCGATCTAGTCGCTCGGATGGTCCGAAAAACCGAGGTCCCGTCTATACATTGGAGTGCACGTAAAATATCCTTGACGGTTGGAATTCGATATAAGACTAGGCCATAACATAACACACTAGCATATGCCCGTCTTCATTAGCCCACTAGGAGCAGAACAGTAGGACGTTAAATAAAATTTCATTTCATTTCGATAACATCTTAAAGTACCTTTCACCCGTCTTGGAGCTATTCATAAATAATGCCATTGCAAACAGGTGGACAATACGGAGCCCCTTAAGTGCGTTATAACGAATTAGTATTTCGTTATAACGAATTAGTATTTCGTTTAAACGAAATAATTATATAAGAGTGGAATCATGCCCGAAAAAAATATATAAGAGTGGAATCGTGCACTTAAGGGGCTCCGTATGGACACCATACCACAATTAAATACTTATCGCCTTAAACTTTGAGGTTCCCAACATGCTTTGGCACCTCATAAGCGTCCACGAGGGAACACAATGCCATATTTGGACTCGGAAGGGTAGGTTTCCTATCTGTTTGTAATGAATTGTATGGACCTAAAATCAATTTTTACCATCTTGTTTATTCTTTTAAATCGGGGGGGGGGGGGAATGGATGGCTGAATGGTTAGCGTGCGCTCGCTGTATCATAAAGTCTGTCATTGAGTCGACTGGCATGGTTTCGAATCCCCGGTTGTACGTGACAAGGAGTAGGGTCGCCTGTCCAACCTCGTGGGTTTTCTCCGGGTCCTCCGGTTTCCTCCCACTGCTAAAGACCTCTATGCGCAAGGGAATTATTGAAATAAAATTAAACCATAGTCTGTGATTGACTCAAGTGGAATGATTTCGATTCCCCTTATGCATGTGACAAGGTGTAGAGTGGTATGTCAAACCTCGTGGGTTTTCTCTGGGTCCTCCACCCCCGCCCCCACACACACTGCTAAAGACCCATAGGCGCAAGCATCGTATTGAAATAAAATTGAAACACGTGTTAGTCCCAAAATGGCCTATTTTATGTCGAGTGGACGTTAACCCCCTTTTCTCTCTTTCTCAAATTTAGTTAATTATACACAGTCAGCCGTTTACGAAGATTAGTTTACTGAATATGTTTAACTAAATTAGACTTTGATACGAGTCAGATAAATTAGATAAAATCAAATATATAACGAAATTTATCACCCAACAATACATTCTACAGTAGATATCGCTTTACATGAATTTGATTGGTCAGTTGAAAAGGAACTACTTTTTTTATTTTCAAAGAACAGTTCATTTCTTATTAAAAGTATTTTTTTTAATTAAAAATTAACTATTGTTATTCCATTGACCTTGATGGAAACACTTGGTCAATATAAAGGACATTGCAATGGTTGAATTGCTGTCAAAAAATGATGTATCACTACGCCGTAATGTTCAGTAAAAGTGAAATCTACAGCAAAGAATTATATTTATCAATTTGTGCATGTAAAAGGGGATTGGGTGATAAATAAAATCCCCTACTCGTCTTTTTTGATATCAAAAAATATCAACACTCGTTGATAAAGTAAAAAACCCAAAAAACTCGGCAGAGCCTCGTTTTTTGTTACTTTATCAACTTGTGTTGATATTTTTTGATATCAAAAAATGCTTTGTTTGACGTGTCTACATTTTACATTTCTCTCATTACATTTTACATTTGCTCTCTGCCACATACCATTTGTCCTTCACGCATTCTACATAGCATGTTTCGCCCAGTATCAACTTTCATATGCAAATGTAGGATATCACGTGACTTATTAACATATACGGAAACCTAGCACACTATAAAACACAATGACATAATACTTACCTTGACACTTTGGATGGTATTTTACCATGATTAGGGGGGGGGGGGGCTGTGCAATGTCCAAATACGAAATTCCAGATGTCATGTAACATATAAGTGAAAAGCACGTTCATTTCTGTTTGTAAATATGTAAATAGTTTTCTGGTACAATCGCATTTACTTAATTCAAATCCAATAAATATCACACTATTAAAGGGGTATTCAAGTAAAAATACTGGTCTATATACGAAATTTCAGATACCATGTTACGTATCACTGATTGCTCTTTTCAAATATGCAAATAATTTTCTGGCAAATTCATATTTGCATAGCTTTACAAAAAAAAAGATTAAAGTTGAAGTGAAGCAAAGGTGGGTGAAGGAAAGGTGGGTGGGGCGTGGGGGGCTAAACTAAACTAAAATAAACTAAAATAAAGATACGGGGCTTAATCAAAAATTATCTATGTCCATACTAAAAAATGTATAGTCCTTCCTCTCTTTAAATATATTTTTTATTTGTTGGACACAATGCTTATATATTGTTGTTTTTTAATGGATCAAAGTTAATTGGGCTGTGCTCAACTCTGTTTATAGAGAGACCGGGAAGAGTGGGGTTGTTTAAAATATCAACATATGGGTATTAATACGAAATTCCAGTTATTGTGTTATAAATTACTGAAAAGTATGTTTCTGTGGCTGTTTGAATCCATCGGTTATTTCCTGGCACATTCATGATTACGCACGTTCGTCTAGATAGTTATTTCCTGGCACATTCATGATTACGCACGTTCGTCTAGATAGTTTCCTATGGTTTTCCAGCTTGATTTACTGTTATTGTGCGCTGAATATCCTTATAGTGTGCTGGTTTATAGTGTGCCGGGTTTCCGTATATGTTAATAAGTAACGTGATATTCTACATTTACATAGGAAATTTGATGCTGCGCGGAAGCTGCTATGTAGAAAGCGTGAAGGAACGAGAGCATCGCTAACGCTGCAATATACGTCCACATTCCAGCTTTGATTGATATGGTACTTTTTAAAATGAAGAGAATGAAATATGAAATGGCTGTAATATGATCAGAGGCAAAGGAGGCTAGGCGTTGGGTTTGTTTTGCCAAATTTACAGACAAAATACTAACAAAAAAGTGGATGTGTCACTGCCCCAGGAGGTCGGGGCAAGCTTCAAAATAAATAGTTGCTGTCTTTACGGTATGAGAAATAAATATGCAAAGTTCCAAGATGATCCATTCAGAATTGCAGGGTTGGATATGGAACAATATAAATAGGTACCACCCTATTATTGAAATGAAAACATTAATAGTTGCCGTCCTTAGAGTATAAGGAATAAGTATACCAAGTCCCAAGATAATCTATTCAGAATTGTGGCAAAAATTGGGCGTGGCTCTGCCCCTGGGGATCGGGGCATTCACCAAAATCAATAGTTGATGCCCTTAGGCTATAAGGCATACATATGCCAAGTACCAAGTTGATCCATTCAGAATTCCGGCCTGTAAACGATAAACACAAAAATTGGGCGTGGCTCTGCCCCTGGGGGTCGGGACATGTAGTTGTCGTCCTTAGGCTATAAGGAATACATATCCCAAGTTCAAAGACAATCCATTTAGAATCGTGGTCTGTAGGCAACTCACAGAGACACAAAGAAAAAATGGGTGTGGCTCTGCCCCTGGGGGTTGGGCAATCACCAAAAAACAACAGGGGGCATCCTTAGGGTATAAGGAATAGGTATGCAAGGTTTCAAAAGGATCTGTTAAAAATATTGCGGCCAGTAGGCGACACAAAAGGCACACAAACATTGGGCGTGGCTCTGTCCCAGGGGGTGGGGCATGTACCAAAAATAATAGAGGTCAGCCTTACGGTATAGGGAATAAGTATTAACAAAGTTTTCAAGACGATCGATTAAGCATTGCAGGCTGTAAGTGACATCCAGACACACAAAAAGAAAATGGGCGTGGTTCTATCACTGGGGGGTGGGCATACACCACAAACAATAGAGATGTTCCTTAGGATAGAAGGAATAAGTCTGCAAAGTATCAAGGTGATACGTTAAGAAATGTGGTCTGTAGATGACAAACAAATACAAGAAATGGGCGTGGCTCTGCCACTGGGGGTCGGGCATGCACCAAAAACAATAGGGATCATATGAAATTTTTTCAAGACGATCGATTAAAAATTGTGGCCTGTAGGCGACACACAGATACACAAAAAGAAAATGGGCGTGGCTCTGCCCCTGGGGGTTGGACATACACCCCAAACGATAGGGATGTCCTAAGGGTACAAAGAATACGTATGCAAAGTTTCGAGATGACACGTTAAGAACGCGGCCTGTAGACGACAAACAAACAAATACAAGAAATGGGCGTGGCTCTGCCCCTGGGGATCGGGCATGTACCAAAAACCATAGGGATCATCCTTAGGGTATAAGGTATAAGTATATAAAGATTCAAGATGATCACTTAAGAATTATGGCCTGTAGGCGACACACAGAAAGGAAACGGGCGTGGCTCTGCCCCTGGGGGTTGGGCATGCACCAAAAGCGATAGGGATGTTCCTTAAAGGCATTTTGACTCTATCATTATCGGTATTAGGATTTTGTACATTGTACTTTTTACATATAATCAATGGAAACGACATTGTCGCAGAGCATTTAATATTGGCAGCGATACCCTTCCATAGATTTCAACATCATCGGATGGCAGTCAGGTTTTCCCAGAAATCTATTTTAAGTTTCAGTTTAAATTCTTGGAAATACACGTAGACGCCAGTAATTGTTAGTTATATTTTACGTAATTGACAAGGTAGGTAGACTATATACGTTAAACGTTACATTTTGAAACCGGCTTTGGTTGATAAACATGTTGATAAGAACTAAACATGTTGAAAAGCACATTAATGTCTTATTTATTTCGATGTATTTATTGGCGGGCGATGTCGATGTACATGTATAAAACTTAACAGCAGAAAACACACAAAAAACATTACACACACAGGGTTGCGTACAAAATTAGGAATGAACAAAATAAAACGAAACGAAATACAAAAATAAAACGAAACGAAAATACAGTTTGTAACAGTTGATGTCCTGAAATTACGTGTAAAATACGACTCAGCCAACTGACATACATGTAGTCGACAATAAGAATGGCGTAGATAGATCCTTTTTTGGTGGTATGTTCCTTTTCTGTCTCATGCCCCATCGTTGTATATTTCAGATTTCAGTCGACTAAAGGGACAATAACACTCTTGCTGGCTTGAAAGCTCCAGAAAATAAATAATATCTCTATCTAAGTACTAGATGTTTAAGTGTCCTACCTGTTGTGTAAATTATCCATTACATCCCATTTTACTTGTCCAGAGGGTTCGAAAATATTTTGTAAATCGAAGTTTCATTTGAAAAGGTTTACGTTAGACGTTTCAAACCATTATTTTGAATTTTTCAAAATTTTAAAATAAGGTGTGTTAAGATGAAATTTGTATCATCAATTAATTGAAATATTCTAAAATAGTACAATTTGTTGACCAGAATAAAGATTGGGACATATTATTCAGTTACAACAAGAGTGGTATTGAGCCTTTTACTTTTGATATATGTATAGACCGGAGGCTCAGTGCGGGGTGTGTGTGTGTGTGAGGGGGGGGGGGGTGTACATCAAATGGACACAAAACCAAATCCAACTTTTCTAGGGTAAAATTTTGCATAGAATACGATGTCGAGTGGTAATCAGTCCGCCGCTGGGGCGTTTTAGAGATATTCGGGGTCAAAGGTGAAGTGAGGTCATTTGCACAGAAAGTGAATGCGCAGCCATTCTTATATCATGAACACATGCAGAAGATGATCGAGAGTAATCACCCTTTCAATAAAAATGTAAACTTGCTAAATTCACCTTTGTTCTTTGTGGGGGGATCACGTGGCTAAGTGGGTAAGACGCTAGCTCGCTAGCCTGGAGGTCGGGTGTTCGATCCCTGCATTAGCCGAGTAAGTGCATCCAGATTTTCCGGCGTGGTTCTCCCTTGTCTGTGATGCAGGACGGAGGGGCTGACAAGGAAAGCTGTCTAGTCGTTCGGATGGGACGAAAAACCGAGGTCCCGTGTACACATTGGCGTGCACGTAAAAGATTCCTTGGCAGTTGGAATTCGATATAAGAGTAGGCCGTAGTGCCGCTGTCCGGGCAAAATTACCCTCATAGCACACTGTATGGCGTATGCCCGTCTTCATTAGCCCAGGTTAGGAGCAGAACAGTAGGACGTTAAACTCCATTTCATTTCATTTCATTTGTTCTTTGTGACCAGGGAGGTCAAAAGGTCAAAATTTCCGTTTTTGCACTAGGAAGATCTAAAGCAAAAATTGTCAGCGTAAAATATAAAAACTAAAGCGAAACATGTTCTAATTACTAACAGGGACATTTAAAACTTATCTTAAGGTGGTCTTAGCACCGTACATTTACTTTTGAACGTCGAAAAAGATCTTGCACAACAGAATTGACTGTTAATAATAGGAACATTTAAAATTTATCGTAAGGTGGTCTTAGCACCGTACATTCACTTTGGAACGTCGAAAAAGATCTTGCATAACAGAATCGACTGTTAATAATAGGAACATTTAAAATTTATCGTAAGGTGGTCTTAGCACCGTACATTTACTTTGGAACGTCGAAAACGTCTGCATAACAGAATCGACTGAAATTTGGTGTGCGGTCTTAGCACCGTACATTTACTTTGGAACGTCGAAAACGTCTGCATAACAGAATCGACTGAAATTTGGTGTGCGGTCATCAATAGTCACCCAAATATTTTCATTAGTTTTTTGTACTGAAATATGTTATTTTTTAAACTTAAATATTTTCATTATGTTATTTTTTAAACTCAAATATTTTCATTATGTTATTATATTTCATTATGTTATTTTTTAAACTCAAATATTTTCATTATGTTATTTTTTAAACTGAAATATTTTCATAATGTTAGTTTTTAAACTCAAATATTTTCATTATTTTTTATATTTAACTAAAATATGAGGTTGCTAGGAAATTGTTCATTCTGTTATTTTTTTATATTTAACTAGAATATGGGGTTGCTAGGAAACTGTTCACTCTGTTATTGTTGATATTTAACTTAAATATGGGGTTGCTAGGAAACTGTTCACTCTGTTATTGTTGATATTTAACTTAAATATGGGGTTGCTAGGAAACTGTTCACTCTGTTATTGTTGATATTTAACTGAAACATGGGGTTGCCAGGAAACTGTTCACTCTGTTATTGTTGATATTTAACTGAATATGGGGTTGCTAGGAAACTGTTTATTCTGTTATTGTTGATATTTAACTGAATATGGGGTTGCCAGGAAACTGTTTATTCTGTTATTGTTGATATTTAACTAAAATTTGGACGTTGCTATGACGTGTTGTGTTTCATATTTAATATTTATTTAACCGAAATATGGGATGCCTATATTTTTTATATTTTACGCATTTATGGGCTTGCTAGGAAATTTGTCATTTTGTTATGTTTTATATTTAGCGGAAATTTGGGAGTATCTATCACATTTTCCTGGTGTTACAGTTATTTACATATTTATTTAGCTTAAATATCGGGTGCCATGGAAACTTAACTTACCAATATGGTATATTTTTGTATTTTACTAAAATATTTCGACAATTCTACTACCATATATATATATATATATATATATATATATATATATATATATATATATATATAACAAGCCTTATCTTAATTTCTCATTTTTATAGTCACTTAATAAATGGTTTTGTTGTATTTAACAAGTCATAACCATATAAAATTCAATACAAAATAAACTGAAAAGGTAAACGACAAGCCAGCGTTTTTGAGTGCAAACTAGGTTACGTGCCCTTGATTTGAAATTAGAAGCACCAAACCATTCCACTGAACGTTCTCCGGCTGATAGACTGGATAATCAAGACCATTTTCTACGTAACAATGAAGAAAGCTAGATCAACCAACGAGGCAACGGAACAATTGAGTTGAGAACCAAGTAAAAGGAAAAATAAACTACAAGTATTCTAGTCTCGCCTAACCAGAAAGCTTGTACTAAACCAAAATATACTGCCCTTAACGGTATAGTTAATAATAAGGAGAATTAAAAAAAACATCAAAAAACAAAAACAAAAACGAAATGAACGTAATTATCTAATCCACTGCTGTGACAATCGGAAAGTCAAATTTTACTATACTCTTCAAAAAAAGAAACGCAATGTGACATTTCGTCGTCGGTATATCCTCGTTTCACCATCGCCTCGTTGAGACAGGAACCGCGACACGTCGCTGAACCAAACTGCTCTCCTGTTATGCTGTGACCATACCCTCAGAAAATGAAATGAAATGGGGTTTAACGTCCTACTGTTCTGCTCCTAACCTGGGCTAGTGAAGACGGGCATACGCCATACAGTGTGCTATGAGGGCAATTTTTCCCGGGCAGCGACGCTACTGCCTACTCTTATATTTAATTCCAACTGCCAAGTGATCTTTTACGTGGACGCTAATGTGTACACGGAACCTCGGTTTTACGTCCCATCCGCACGGCCTCCATCCAGCATCAATGACAAGGGGAAACCACGCCGGAAAATCTGAATGAACTTTCTCGGCCAATGCAGGGACCGAACACCCGACCTCCAGGCTAGCGAGCCAGCGTCTTACCCACTTAGCCACGTGATCCCCCATACCCTCAGTGTCTGAACCCAATGAAGTTGGATTTCACAGTGTCGGCGTATACTCAGCCAAATTAAAAACCTGACACTCGGGATATTTGGGACTAGATTTTTAATATATTTTGGTTTAAGGCAACTATTTTAGTGTTATCTTGTGCACAGACGACCTTGACATCAACAGAAAGCAAGAATACGTCTCGCCGAAAGTCCTTGACATTAATAACGTTCGTGATGTCACAGTACCCCCCAAAATGAAATTCACAGACTTGGAGAACAATCGGAATAAAGTGTTTAGTAACGGTTGTGACCTCCTCTAGCGTCTCGTACTGCCACACAACGTCTTCTCATGGATCTCAGAACATTAGTAAACACTACCCGAGGAAGACGTCGCCACTGCTCAGCAAGAGCATGTTGAAGGTCCTGCAACGTCAGTGGTGGATTCACCTGCTGACGAACACGTCGACCCAGTTCGTCCCAGATGTGTTCAATAGGATTAAGGTCGGGGCTAAGCGACGGCCAATCCAGGACTTGGACACCGGCATTTCTTAAAAAATTCTGGGTAGCAATTGCTGTATGGGGTCGAGCATTGCCTTGTTGAAACGTTAGTCCAGGCCCATGTCTCTGCATAAACGGAAGAACAACAGGTTGCAAAATCTGATCCCTGTACTGGACAGCATTTAAGTTCCCTTGGACAACAAGAAGAGGAGAACGTCCATGTGCACAAAAAGAACCCCAAACCATGACGCTGCCGCCACCAAATCGGTCAACTTCTCTGACGCATACTAGAGCGTATCGTTCACCTCGTCTGCAATACACTCCGATCCTGCCATTCTCAAATCTCAAAGTGAATCGAGATTCGTCACTAAAGACAACCGAATTCCTCTGTCTTTGAGTAAATCTTATGTGTCTTGTGGCCCACACAAGTCGGTTACGGCGATGAAGAGGTGTCAATATTGGTCCATTATAGGGCCTCCGAGCTCGAAGACCAGCAGCCTGCAAGCGATTTCGAACAGTTTGTGCAGTTACCCTTCCACCAAACATCTCTCTACTTGTGGAGGTTGCAGTGACAAATCTATTTCATATTGCTTGATCTTCCTGTAGTGATGTCACACGTGGCGCTCTCGCCCTTGGCAGGTCGGCAATAGTTCCAGTTTGAAGCACTCTCATTCTAAGATTAATTATTGTCTGGCGTGAACAATAATTAAAAGCTCTTGCAACAGTGACCACAGACTGACCAGCATAGAGCCTATAGCACGTAGACGTTCTACATTTGAAAGGCGCGGCATTTTCTAACAAAGATGAAAATAACAATTTTAATTTGTTTTTCCAGTTCAAGTTACGTGTGCGTGTTCAGTTTAAGCAAACTTGCATCGATTGACCTCACGAGTTTGTGTTTGCACGTGTTTTGTTGAAATTCATCAGTGCCAAGTTTTTAATTTGGCTGAGTATATTTCAAAACAGCGTTTACGGACTGTCTTGTCTGAGATTCTACGCCGTCCGGGAATTGCTGCTGCAGTAGAGGTCGCTGTTGAGAGCCATCTCCGCCAATGACGTAACCGGAAGTGACGATCAAGGACAGAAGGGGCCACTCTTGTTTGTCCTGAGCTTGGGCGGTCACGTGTTGAACTTTGCTGTCGGTACCTATCCCAAAGACGAGAAATGGAAATCAGGGAAATATTCAGCAGCCTGGCTACATCTGTCTGGGATTCACCTGCTCGTAATCGACCAATAGCGTTGTTACGTTGGTCTTCGTTCAGATGTGGCATCACTTGGTTCGTTGAAGGTTTACACGTGCAACTGATTTTGAAACCGAGAACCCCAGAATTTTAAAGGCCTTAGATTTAGGTTCCATTCGAAAAGCTCGCAAAGTTGTTAAATTCGCGTGTCTTGGAGCAATCAAGCGAAAACAAATTTCGGCAAAAAGGATGACCAGCCACAATGAGTGACTCTACATTTAAAACCAATAATAGGATTTTCCTTTATCCTTACACAATGAGATTAAAAATCAAGTAAGATTTATGAAACAACGACTCCGTTCAAATAAAAAAATGATGAAAAATGGGCTGTGCGTTTCTTTTTTTGAAGAGTATATAATAAATTTTGTACGGCTTAAACAGTTGATACATGCGTAGAAAATGCCTACACCGGATTATGCACGTGCTGCGTGTCTACCGTGTAATCACTCGGGATCGAGTCATCTGAGCGTGATGATTCGCTGTGTTGACTTCCCAAAGAAGTATCTATCGGGTGGTTATTTCCAATAAAAGTATGGCAATTTTGGTATATATGGAAAGTAGAAATATCCAATCTTACTAGAAAAATACTGGATTCCCCGAAAAACACTCATGGAGCGTATACAGGACAAAAATGTAAGGGTTCCCCTAATCGACAGCCTGACGATTAGGAATTTCTGCACGCGTGTAAAAGGTCACACGCGAACATTGAGCGCTTAATGTACAAGTTGATAAACTTTATGAAGAGTTAGACGTACAGCACTTTCTGAGATAGTGGATAATCCGAGAATTTAATTAGGATTCGATATTTGTAATAAATAGTAAGCGATTAAAGACAACATCGTCTTATGTATGCAATGGATTCTCCTCTGACTTCCAAGAGAGGTAAGTCACGTGACGTAAACATGACCTGATTTGATCGAATTTTTATAGCAGGGCATTCCTTTGCAATTACAATGTTTGAGAATGATTTGAAGCAAAATTTCGACAAATTAATTAGTTTGAATATGTTTTTAGTCCATATATACCATTAAATCACCTAGTTTGCACGCGGGAATGTATCTTTAACTTTTAATAGAGCAAACTTTGACTGCGTGGGAAACCTTATCATTGATATTGATAAAAGTTTGAAAACTCTGGGTGTCAATCATGATTTGTGGCGCATATTTGGATCCGAATATAACATGTAATTTTATGAGCTACAATAATCCAACAAAACACGTATATGACCCCTGACACGACCCGCCATCCCACTACAACCAGTGAGGTCAGAGAGAGAGAGAGAGAGAGAGTTTAACGTCCACTCGACACAAACTAGGTCATTTCGGGACTAACATATGGTTTAATTTTATTTCAATAATTCGCTTACGCGTATAGCAGTGGGAGGAAACCGGAAGTGAAACCAAAACAATAAATAAAACAAACAAGTTTATTTCTGAATATTGTCAAAAGTCGATTGTATGACGCCCACCCCCTTCACTACAACCAGTCAGATCTTATAATACTGAAAGCCATATTCAGGTTGTCGTAACACTTATTAATTTGGTATAAATTTCTACATTTATGACCCCCACCCCTCTTCACTACAACCAGTCAGATATTAATGTTGTGGAGGCCATCGGTAGTATAAAAAACGAATCGAAAGAGAGATCTGTATTTTATTCAGATTGTCGTAACACTTAGCCTCCCTCCCTCCCTCCCTCTCCCTCCCTCTCCCTCCCCCCTCACTACAACCAGTCAGATCTTATTACCCCTGACACACCCCTCCCACTGCAACCAGTCAGATATGAATGTTGGGGAGGCCATCGATAGTATAAAAATGAAACGAAGGAGAGCTCTGTATTTTATTCAGATTGTCGAAAAACTTATTAATTTGATATGAATTTCTATATTTAGATGAGTATCTACCTGGGAGGTTATGAACGAGGAGAGAGTTTGGAGAAGTTTATAGATAGAGAGATCAGGCCACCAAATGATTTTAAAGATCGTGTTAATCAAACGGTCGATCAATTAGTTCGATATTTACACAGGATGCCTGGTTACAGTATTCAGGAAGTCGTCAAGGTAAACATTTTTATAATAAGACAAATATCTAAAACTGTTCATCCACCCGATCACGAGTCTAGCTAATTAATGCCGTTGATTGCCAAAGTCAACAATTTGGTGTTATTGGGCAGTTATTGGGTGTTATTGAGCTGTTATTGGGTGTTATTAATTTCTTGTCAACAAAAATCACATATACGAGTTATCTCCCTTCAGTCGAGTGAGCGTGAAACTCCGATTTGGACACAAAGCAGCGATGCTTCTTAAATTCAACTAAAATGTTATTTTGTGTTTCCAAAGTCAACATTTTGTAGTTATTGGTTGTTATTTTGGAGTTATTGGGTGTTCTTTTGGAGTTATTAGGTGTTATTGGGCAGTTATTGGGTGTTATTGGGTAATTCGACGCGCTGATCACGCGATGCGTTACGATAGGTTTGTCTGTCTCTATTGAGTCCACGATCTGGTACGTACGTAAAGATACGTTCATATACGTTTCGGTGCGATAAACACGATTTATACGACAAACCTCAGTATATGATAAGACCTGTTACGATCACCACGATTACTCCATCATTTAAAACACGAGTTCACTCAAAACGCCAATCGCGATGCTAGGAACCACACTGATCAGCAGTGAATTTTCGCTAGGCCTCTACAATCACTGATAAGGATGACATCGATGACATATTAACTTTTTCCTGCGACAAATTAATTCTAAAACATTTTTTTATGTATTGGAAAAATAAATAACGGCGTTTGACGTATTTGTAGGTAAAAATTATTTCCTATTTAGTGCAAATGGGTATGAAAATGAGTAAAAGTCTCCATTCTGCCCGAACTAGAACGTCTTATGTAAACAATGCGCGCGCCATCGAGCCAATGATTGACGCCGCGTGATGAGACGTCACGTGTTAAAGGTAGTCATCTTTTACAGAGATATTAGAAAGACTTTCGTAATCCTCTGTGAAACAGATTGGCTGGGAACTTGGCATAACACGATTTGTAGGCTACGGTAGAGAGATAACACACAGCACCCTTTCGCTATTTTAAAATCCCAACGCGCAAGTGAATTATTGAATTAACATTGGACCATATGTAAGTCCCGATATTACCTAGTTTGTAGCGACTGGTCGCTGAATCTTTGTCTCTTCACTTGACTTAAAGTCGAGCTTAACGTTCGCGCCAACCTAGGGTGATATCGCTGGCAAATCTTTCTCTAACAAATTGGGGTTTTGTTCATGTTTATAAAGGGACACAGCTCTGTTTTATTTGACTGTCACTTTATAAGAGAACATGAAAGAAAAACAGAAAAAGTCCATGTATTACCATGTTTTTATAAGTATAGAATGAATAAACACACGTGAATGTACGGACTGTTTCTATTTTTCTCGTGCTCTCTTATCTAGTGACATTCAATTACTTTTTTGAATTGTCAGATATACTCGCACAGTCTCATATAACAACTTTTGGTCTTCCTAAGAATTATTAGTGAGCAGAAATTCGCTCATTTATCTGTTATCACTCGTCACTTCAGTCAGTTATACAGAGGGATAACCCGTGCTGTCCTTTTGCGTTCGTCACTTCCGATTTTTGAAACATTGTTTACGCACCTATCGTAGCAATGATCTCTGTGATAAATTAATATTTGGAACATGTTTAACCAGTTCTATCAAATATGTGATAATGCCTGGCACCAACATTGTCTTTTAACATATCTTTAATACGGACCCTGTGCTTTTCTAGATACTGTATATTCCATATTAAAGTCGTGGTTATACCATCTTCAATAAAAGGCTTGATCTCGCTTTAACTACGTACATCTTATCAAGGCCTTCACGTAATACCCTGCATATGTCGGCACTAATTTCGATTGGGTACAAGCCCAGCTTGTGAGCCTATCAGATTCCTCGATCGTCGCGAATATCAAGTCTCGCGCTTTCAAGCTAAAATGTCTACCTGTGATAATCGAGTTGCATAGTTCAAGGTTCATTCAATGGCAAGGTTTCCGTGGAGGTCGCGATGTCCCAACCTCTGATTGGACGCTACTGGTCACGTGTCTATAGATAACATAGCTATAAGTTCGGGAATTGTGAAGTAAACAGGCAACGTCCAGATGTTGTAAAACTCACAGTCGTTGCTTCAGGAATATGTGGTTATACGGAGTCGCCCCACAAATACACGTTATGTATTTTAAAAAATTTGATCCATGACCCTTTTGAGAAATGAGCTTTTTTATTTGATTGTAGAGTGGTTCGTTGGGAAAGGGGACATCTATTTTGAGTGATGCTGATGCTGATATGGTAGTTTTCTTCAATGGTTATAAGAATATTGAGAGTTTGATTAAAGATAAACCACAAATTATACGGGATGTTAGGCAATATATGTGTAACCCCAAACAAGGATGGTTAAGCTGGATATTTCAGTCAAAACCCGAATGGATGGACTCAATACACGTACTAAAATATAACGAATATTTCATCAAGTTTATGGTATATGTTCAGTACAAGGGTAGAAGTGAGTCAGTTGAAGTGGACGTTTTACCTGCATTAGATGTAGTCGCCAAACATGGTAAGGCCAAGAACTATTTCTTCGACAGCATCACAGTTAGATAGCTAGACAGCGTGCAGTTCATAAGTTATTTAATTGGACATATAGTATCACTTTTCAAATTTGTTATTAGAGCGTTCACAAGATTCTACAAAGCTATTGTATACATCTAGTTATTGTATACATGTACATCATTTATATTACAACAGGTGGGAATATGCTGTCAGTTTATGGGAATAGAGGAGATAGATGCTATATACATTGTTTATATAACAACAGGTGGGAATATACAGTCAGTTTATGGGAATAGAGGACATAGATGCTACATACATTATTTATATTACAACAGGTGGGAATATACGATCAGTTTATTGGAATAGAGGACATAGTTATTATATACTCGATTTATATTACAACAGGTGGGAATATGCAGTCAGTTTATCGAGAAATGCAAAATAAATCAAGTCATGTCAGGGAACACTACTCTGTTTGTTTCTGTAAAAAACAACTGGCAATGATTCGACCTAAACCAGCTAAAGTTAAAGACTTGATTCGTTTACTTAAATACTGGAAAAGGGTAATGCAAATACTTTATATTATACTTTATATTATACTTTATATTATACTTTATATATAATACTTGATATATTACTTTATATTATACTTTATATATAATACTTGATATATTACTTTATATTATACTTAATACTGTGCATAATACATGCTTTATGTAATACACAATTTTGTGCATAGTGTATAATTTACTGTGAAAGTTACAACGACGTCTACAACTGGCTTAGAATTTATATAAGTAACAAATGAAATGGCAAGAAATGAAATTAAATGGGATTTATTTTCCTACTTTTATGTCTGCATTGGGCATATATAAGGAAGAATGAATGCTACAATGATTTCCACAACTCACTAGAGTTTATATAAGTAGCAATGGTTGCCACAACTCACTAGAGTTTATATAAGTAGCAATGGTTGCCACAACTCCACAATTCGCTAGAGTTTATATAGGTAATAATGACTTCCACAACTCCACAACTCGCTAGAATTTATATAAGTAACAATTCGTTCGTTCGTTTCTGGGGTTTTACGTCAACTTCCAACCGAGGTGATATCGTAGACATGTGTTTCCTAAGAAGCTTGCCAGTGGTAGCCGCAAAAGGAGGGCTAGGTTTGGCTAAAGGGTAAGACACGGTGTCTTTGCGGGGTAGTGCCCAAGGCCAGATTCATCCAAAGGAGAAGCCCCGGGTGTTAGAAAAAGGAAGAATGGCATGCGGACATAATCTGGTCCGGTTTTGCCATACATGCTAGGGTGCTTGAGAGTATTAGGGTTTTGGGTTTGACTGACGGTCGGGCCCAAGGGCCATCCAACTGTTTGTCTTAGGTCAAGGGAGTGCAAGCGATGCCTTCCGGGCTAGGCGTTGTTTAGCCGTTGGCCCCGACCACCGAAAAAAACAAAAACGGCCCCCTCAGAGTCTTGACTTCTACAACTCGCTAGAGTTTATATAAGTAACAATGGCTGTCACAACTCGCTAGAGTTAATAAAGTAACAATGGCTGCTTCCGTTCGCTTTTGTTTATATATGTAACAATGACTACCACAACTCGCTATGACGACACAAATATACCCGATATAGCTGTACGGGACATAACTTAATCTTTCTTATAACCCAGACTGAGATGTTTGTTTTTTTAGCCTTATGATTATTCGCAGTTAAGTTTCGTCGTGATTACTATTTGTCTGGCGAAATATAACCCGGCTGGTACTGACGTATCACTAAATATCATGTCATTTCAGTTATTCCTGTAACACACCCATTACCCGTTTATCAGTTCATAAACCAAACCAATTGATAATTGAGATATTTCATGAATCTTTTAATATTTCAGACCAATGGGCTAGATATGACATCGTATTGTTGTGAGGTAATGGGGCTATATATTTTCGACACATATCTGAACAGTAAGACTAACTTCGATATGAAAACTGGTTTCTATACAGCTATGGAATTATTTAGTTCCTATAGACAACTACAGATCACAATACCCGGAATCTATAACACGGATAATACTTGGTAAGCTGAATTATAATCTTCTTTAAGTAAATGAAAGAAAAAGAAATGGGGTTTAACGTCCTACTGTTTTGCTCCGAACTCGTCTAATGAAGACGGGCATACGCCATACAGTGTGCTATGAGGGAAATTTTGCCCGGACAGCGGCTCTACAGCGGCTCTACAGCCTGCTCTTATATCGAATTCCATCTGTCAAGGTATCTTTTACTTGCATGCCAATGTGTACACGGGACCTCGGTTTTTCGTCTCATCCGAATGACTAGACAGCTGTCCTTGTCAGGCCCTCCATACTGCATCACTGAAAAGGGGGAAACCACGCCGAAAAATCTGGGTGAACTTGCAGGGATCGAACACCCGACCTCCAGGCTAGCAAGCCAGCGTCTTACCCTCTTAGCCACCGTGACCCCCACGGTTTATATCACTAAAAAGACTGGATCCACCTTTCACTACAGAATGGGTATCGTTTAATTCAGGGTTTTTATCGCTAGAAAGACTTATATGTGTTTCTTTGTATTTGTTCAGGTTTAGTTTCTTCTTTAAAACAACATATATTCTTGATCCGGTTAATCCCTTCTCTGACACATCTTCACATGACGTCTACTGTATAGAAAGGTGTGCTAAAGCCACTTTGAATTGGTTAGATGATGTACCATCCCAGGTAAATATATCTTTATTTAAGGGGGGTTGGATGGCTGAATGGTTAGCGTGCGCGCGCTGTATCATCAAGTCTGTCATTGAGTTGACTGGCGTGGTTCCTAATCCCCGGTTGTACGTGACAAGGAGTAGGGTCGCCTGTCCAACCTCGTGGGTTTTCTGCTGGTCCTCCGGGTTCCTCCCCCTGCTAAAGACCCCTACGCGCAAGCGAATTATTGAAATAAAATTGAACCATGTCTTAGTCCCGAAATGACCTAGTTTGTGTCGAGTGGACGTTAAACCACATCTCTCTCCCTCTCTCCCTCTCTCTTTATTTATGATGCACTATGTAAGGTTTAAATAAAGGACTGGTCGTTCTTGCTATAATAGATCAAAAAATAGATCATACCAAATGAATATACTGGCAATTTCAGTCAAATTATTAGTAGTTTCTGGGCTAACGGGTGTCTTTGACGTGTTCATCAATATTATCTCAATTGTCAGGTACCATTGTTACGATAATGGGCGAACGGATCAGCCTACGAAGTGTTCACCAATATTATCTCAATCGTCAAGTAACCATGGTTACGATAATAGATAAGGTCTCGGTTATCCATTTTTAAAATTAAATTATTAAATTGCGGCCGTGTTTCAATCCATTGAAAATCGCGATCACCAGATGATCTAGAGAATTGGTTATAGGTTTGTCATGTGGATAATAGAGACTTTTGGCAATCTGAATTTTTCCATCCGTATCATGTATCCGTATGGTATACGTGATACGTTGCGTTAATGTAGTTTTAGAGTTTTGGCAGGTTTTCGCGTCGCTGAGCTGGGGTTAGTTCTATTACAGCATCACCACCTGTACTAGTCAAATGCCTAGCCTACAATTTCCCGGAGGGAGTGAAGTCGCTCGACAACTGCAGGGCTATTAAAACATTTTTAATGTCGAATCTTCGACTTCGACTCGATCTCAATTTTTGGTTTCACTAATGTATCATTGCAGAAAGTTCATACCCCGTTACCATAGAATAAAATCATTTATAGATTTGCACGTAGATCAACCAGCATGCAGACAGACCCATCAAAAATAATGATTAAATTCCAGTCGTTATCACGGTTAAAATCACATCAAATATACACCTTTGTGTTCCAGGATACACATAGGTTCATAAAACGCTATGATACAACATTTCAGAGTATAAAAGTAGCAAAAAAGACGGTAAAAAGACGACGATGTTATACGGACCTTATCCGTATGAAAGCTTTTCGATATGTGCTGCCGTATGCGTGTGCCGTATCACGTATGAGAAATATACACACATTGATGACGTCACACGCAAAATCCATACGGATACGCGATACGGACCAGGAAATTACGCTTGCCAAAAATCTCTAATGTCTAATGAATAGCGTATGTAGTGGAAATATAAAATTAATAATTTATATAATATCTAATTAGAAATGTATGTTTGTCATGTGAATAAATATCTAATTAATAATTTACACAATATGTGAAGCTAAAATAAAGATCTGCAATAGGCAGATTTAGTTCTTACATAATGTATCTTTGAGTCTTAAAGTTGCAATTGCAAATTTTCAAGTTATATTTTTAAAATGTATTAAAATAAAGCCATAAAATAGATGGTATCCTTAAACAGTCCTACCTTGTTAAAGAATAATCCTATTAATCCTATAATTCGCGTTTGCCAGCTGAGAAATTGGCAAAAATATCATTTTTAACTTCAAATTCCAACGTTGGAAAATGGCTGCCCCATGTTGTCAATAGCAAAACAGGGGAGGTAATTGTGTTGTTATTTCCTGTGTCATAGATTTTTAAGGGTGGGAAATAATGCCCATGATCGTATAATAGTGATTTGATAACCTATTGAGCAAAAGACATAGAAATAATTATGGTTTAACTTTCTTAGAAAATTTGAAATTCTCGCTTTAAGGAAATCTGTGTTCATGTTAGCCTGACCTTTCCCATTTCCATGGATAACGGGTAATGCTGGCATCCATTACCTCAGAAGTATGTCAACAGGCAGTCTGGTCTTTCTTTATATTTATTTGAGGTCGAGTGTTCGATCCCTGCATTGGCCGAGAAAGTTCATCCAGATTTTCCGACGTGGCTCTCCCTTGACAGTGCTGCAGGACGGAGGGCCCGACAAGGACAGTCGTCTAGTCGTGCGGATGGGACGAAAAACCGAGGTCCCGTGTACACATTGGCGTGCACGTAAAAGATCCCTTGGCAGTTGGAATTCGATATGAGAGTAGGCCGTAGTGCCACTGTCCGGACAAAATTTCCCTCATAGCACACTGTATGGCGTATACCCGTCTTCATTAGCCCAGTTCGGAGCAGAACTAGGACGTTAAACCCCATTTCATTTCATTTCATCTCAATATTTCTTATAACTCCTGTTTTTCAGAGTTACTGTGTGTTATCTTAAATTTGGAGTTACTTTGATACATAGATCCAAAACTGATTTTTAAAAATATGACGGCGTATTCTATAAGAAACACAAGAATAATGAAGTAAATGCACTGTAATTCTATATTAAATATTTACGAAATAGAAATTACGAATACCGATAAGATATGTGGTGCATTTTTGTTTGATAACGATGAAAGTACTAGCCAAAAATTTAATTTTTAGTGTTTTTTCTCTAATACTTGAATTATATTATATATGTATTAATTTGTATATTATTAAAATTCTGGAAATGGTAAAATATAAGAATCCATATTATATGTATTTTTTTTACATGTAATCTTTTTCACTAATATTATTTAAATCATTTTGTTGAAGTGTCACAAACTTGTTAGTTGTTACAAACTATACTTTAAACCCCCTTTGTTGATTAATTAGTCATGGCCTGGTGAACCCAGACTCTAAACAATAGATGTGGGGAAAGTCCTAAATACAGAAGAGTCAAGTAATTGCATTGTTCTTAAATTCTGTATTAAATATCTATGAAATAGAAATTACCAATACCGATATCTAGTCGTGTTCTATTATTATTATTATTGTGACGGCATGTTCTGTACAAAAGATTGAATTCGCCGAATTCCTCACTTGTATTTTTCCTATTCCTCGTATATGTATTTAGTACAGTAAGCTGTACTGGACACGTGTATATACCGTATTAAAACACTAGACCCCCTCTCATTATTGGTATGTAGGGCATTACGGTGTAATACGAAAAGTGTATGCACATTACTACGCGGTATACAGTGTATTAAAACACTAGACCCCCTTCACCTATTGGTATGTAGTGCATTACGTTGGAATGGACAAGTGTATGCACATTAATACACTGTGTATATACTGTATTAATACACAAGACCCCCTCCCACACTATTGGTAGTGCATTACATTGTAATACGACAAGTGTATCCACTGTATTAAAACTCTATATATACTGTATTAAAACACTAGACCCCCCCCCCCCCAGTATTGGTATGTAGTGCATTACATTGTAATACGACAAGTGTATGTATACACATTAATACACTGTGTATGCACTGTATTAAAACACTAGATCCCCAGTTAAAACAAACATCAGATTTTAATGGTAATTTACAAACAATATTAATATAAAACTTGTGTAGAATCCACGTCCAACAGGAATATGAAAACAATGGATCGAGGAATCCGATACGGACGTGTTCTTCACTAGATTAATATTAAAGTAGATAAACAAAGAGACACTAACACTGTTTTCATCGTCAGATATTATTAGACCACCGTTTCGAAGAGGTACCCTCCGAAACGTTGGTCGAATAATATCTGACTATGAAAACAGTGTTAGTGTCTTTTTTGTTTATCTACTTTAATATAAATATAGACAGAAACAAATGACAGACTTATTATTTTAATGTTACTTTGATTAATTTATCGGGTGATAAAACCAATACATGCAAGATGTAAGTAAACAAGTTCATGGGTATTTATAATAATCACGAATCTAAGTTAAAATGTAAAATAGAGAATAAAAAAATGTCGCTTTTAAGAGTCCACATTTTATTTTATGGCTTCGGTTGGGTGAACAGCTACGGAACGCTTACTTACGCGTTTAAATATTTCATTATTTCGTTAAATGGAAATAACTAAACAAATCACATCTCATTTTAATTACTTCGTTTAAACGATATAAGGAATTTAAAATGACTGAAGGTGCATTTGTCTACCTAGATGTTTAGTGGCTTGAATCCATATAACCATAAATAAAACAGAGTTGTGTCCCTTTATATACTTATCCACTATAATTGGCCCGAGAGAGAGATTTTGTCTGCGATATCATCCTAGGTAGAAGCGGGTGTAAGTCTCGACTTCAAGTCAAATACAAGGAGGTGGGGGGGGGGGTATTTTGGGACTAACCTATGGTGCCATGTTATTTGAATAATTCACTTGCGCGTAGGGATATTGGAATGCCGAAGGAAAGGTCTCAAAACGCTGTGTCATTTGTAATTGAGTGGTGGTTTACAGACTGTGTGCTTATTGGGAATGGTGTATAGGCAGAACAGGATAGGGCAAAGAACTGGCACTTGGGGCACTACAAATAACAAGGAGAGCGGTTCAGGTACCGATTCGACAAAATCAACGTTATCGATTAACGAGACTTGTGATCGATTGGATGAACAGCTAAAACTATGTACGATACTTCTCTTATTACAAAATTATTACCTTGACGACTTCTTGAATAATGTAACCCGTGTTCGACATTCTGTGTAAATATCGATCTAATTGATCGACGGATTGATTATCTTAATCTCATTGCTATAAATGTTAATATGTACTTAGAACAACACAGATGTTCACACTGCATTTGTCTCATCCCATGCACTTTCCACACATCATCCGGTTTCCTCCCACTGCTAAAGACCCCTACGCGCAAGCGAATTATTGAAAAAATTTAATTAAACCATATGTTAGTCCCGAAATGACCTAGTTTGTGTTGAGTGGACGTTAAACCCCATTTCTCTCTCTCTTTCCACACATCAAATGTAATAAGAGTGTATTACTACTGATGTCACCCTTTGTGTAACCTCAAACCATGTAAGCATAAGGAAGGGGTGGGTGGGGGGAACTGGGGCAAGTTGATCCTCGGAGTGTAGGGCGGAGGGCCTGACAAGGGACAACATATCGTAGTTTCAATTGGACGTAAATTCGCGGTCCCGTATTCACATTGGCGTGCAGATAAACGATTCCCTGGAAGTTGGGATTCGATATAAGAGCTGCTGTCCAGGTAAAATTTTCCCCATAGCTCACTGCATTGTGTATGCCCGTCTTCATTAGCCCAGTCGGACCAGACTATTAGGACGCTATACCCCATTTCATTTCACTTGTCTTCGATTAAAATACGCATAAATAACTTGTATATATACCAAAAGGAATATTCCTTATAATCTTGCAAGACTGATATGTACAATAGTATCGTCGGAAGAAAATAAAGCAAAACGTCTGAAAGAGCTAAGGGAATTCCTTACAAAACAACATAATCCTTTAAACTTGATAAATATTGGTATAGAAAACGCCTCTAGACTTAACATTGGTGATCTCAGAAAACCCAAAATAAAAGACAACGATTCTAATAATATAACACGTGTGACAACATTTAATCCTTCTCAAGAAAGAGGGTTGTCCAGTGTAAAGGGGCGGTTGGATATTTTAAAGAACAATAGTCGTAAATTAAAATACATCCTAAATAATTAAAAAACTATTAATAGTCTAAAACAACCTCAAAATCTTAGAAGAATATTAACATCATCAAAGTTTGATTCTGATATTTCGGGAGCTCGTGTATCCAAGTGTGGGGACCTACGATGTATGACATGTTCCGATATATTAGAAGGAACATTTGTCCAAATTACTAAAGATGTTAAATTCTATGTTAACAAAATATGAATTGAAAATCGAAGTATGTAATTTACTTATTAATATGTAATTGTTGTAATGGCAAGTACATTGGAAAAACTACTGATCAGTTGCATTTACGAATTAACCAACATCGTTCTAATATAAAACTCGCAAGAAGTAGAGATTTGCCGGTGAGCGAACATTTGGATATTTGTGGTAAAGATCAATTCAAGATTTTTCCTTTGTACAAACTCAATATTAGTGATAATGATCTCTTGGAAACAAAAGAAAGCAACTTTATCGCTAAATATATATAACCCAATTTTGAATGCTAAGGGGTGATTATTTTAATTATGTTTGATGTTTAATTAATGTTATTCCGTTTTAGTTTTTATATTTTACATAGTCATTGTCCTCTGTTATGACGTAACGTTATTGTAACAGCATAGTAACGCATTAAAATGGCCTGACGATTCGTTTGATAACGACGAAAGTACTAGCCAAAAATTTAATTTTTAGTGTTTTTTCTCTAATACTTGAATTATATTATATATGTATTAATTTGTATATTATTAAAATTCTGGAAATGGTAAAATATAAGAATCCATATTATATGTATTTTTTTTACATGTAATCTTTTTCACTAATATTATTTAAATCATTTTGTTGAAGTGTCACAAACTTGTTACAGACTATACTTTAAACCCCCTGTGTTGATTAATTAGTCATGGTCTGGTGGGGTTCATTCCCATATCGCCGACTCACCGAGTTTTAGGGGAAAAATTTTGGTCGACGTTATGGGAATGAGTGGCCAAGAACAATAGACCCAAGCTGAAGGATAAACCTCATTAAGCAGATAATTTTGGGGGCATTTATTTTTTTTAAAATTTATAATACATAACATAACACAATTTTAAATTTTTGCACGCAGTCCAACATAGTCCAAAAATTCTAATAAATTCAGTCTTCCTTGTTCATATCTATAACATCGTTATGAACTCTAAGGAGTGCGGTTTCAGTGCTATGCCCCTCTCGATAAGCAGACTGGAATTTACCGAGCAGTGAGTTTCGAGTTAGATAATCTATAATTTGAGATAAAATCATCTTTTTAAGCAATTTTGTTAAAAATGAAATATTTGACACTGGTCTATAACTTTTGAGTGCATTACGGTCAAGACTTGTTTTTTTAATCAGAGGTCTTACAGTGGCCTCCTTACAATCATCCGGAAAAATACTAGAGGAGAGCACATCATTTATAATAATCGTCAAAGCTGGTGCTATTTCATCCAGACACTCTTTTAGTAGTTTTGTAGGAATTGGGTCCAGAGCACATGACTTACACTTCATTCGACACACCACTGATATTACATCATCAACATTCAATGGCTCAAAAGCAGAGAAATTACACTGGGGTTGGACATTAATGTCAGTGTAAGGGGGGGGGAGTCAACAAACTTTTCACGAATTTTAATAATTGTTTCGGCAAAAAAGTCAATAAAGGTCTGTGGTAAAAATCAATTTCAGTGAACTATATCAATAATGACTGGTCCCTGCCTCATTAACGCTTTTAATCCGCTTTAATCCAATCAAAGGGTGCCGCGGTCGACTTTCCAAAACTCGGTGAGTCGGCGATATGGGAAGACCCCCCTGGTGGACCCAGACTCTAAACAATAGATGTGGGGAAAGTGAGGTGTCCCCAGTATGCCGTGTGTTTGTGTGCCTCGGCAGTATGTTAACAGTCAAACTGGCCTTTCTGTACATTCATTATAACTTGTGTTTTTCAGGGTTATGGTTTGTTATTTAAAATCGAAGTTGTAGCTGCTGCCACTGTTTTTACTTTACTACTTGGATTCAGCGCAGCTAAAGAAACAGTTTTATTTAAAATTCTACAGCAAATCATCATTAATCGGTGTATTCAGTTCCCACATTATGTACTAAATATCCACGTGATATAGAAATTACCAATATCGATATCTAATCGTGCACTATTATTAATATTAGTAATATTATTATTTGATGTACGTATTTATTATTATGTTCTATACAGATCACACTCAACTGTCCTAAATACAAATGAGTTAAGTAATTGCATTGTTCTTAAATTCTGTATTAAATATATATGAAATAGAAATTACCAATACCGATATCTAGTCGTGT